AGAAGCTTCTTTTTTTCCAGCAGATGGAGGCCATTGCATAAAACTACAAATGGTCAAAATGTAAAAAACAACTGACTATATTAGATGTCCAACACTAGTTGATTTATACACAACACAATCTCTGCACCTAAGGGTCAGGGAACATTAAGGAAAAGGAGCCAGAAAGATGGTAAGAGCTAAGGAATCCTGATGTCTACCATGAAGCAGCATCTTTATCTGTGACAGAGAAGCTAAACTCATGAAGCCTTTTAAATATAGTCACCTAAATAAGACCAACACCCAACACAATGACACCATGGATGGATGGAATCTCACAAGGCCCCATCTATAGATGATGAGTTACAATTGATTGATTAATTAATTGAAAAGCAAAATTAATTCTTGCTGACAAAAGAAGAATTAGTCTTCTCCAGGGATGAGCCAATAGGTTATCCATTCCTATGTAGTCAGCTCTAAACACACACACACACACACACACATACACACACACACACACACACACACACACACACACGGCAATAATAATTAAAGAATAAGTAATAAGCCTGGTGGTGGTGGTGCACTCCTTTAATCCCAGCACTCAGGAGGCAGAGGCAAGCGGATCTCTTGGAGTTTAAGGCCAACCTGTTCTACACAGCTAATGCCAGGACAGCCAGAACTGTTACACAGAGAAACCCTGTCTCAAAAGCCAAAAAAAAAAAAAAAAAAAGGTATTGAAATTGAGGGGGAGTAGGGTATGCAAGGGAGTAGTTCTAGAGAAAAAGGGGGGTTTTGGAATTGATGTAAATGCAGTACTTGTATATGAAATTCTCAAAAAAATCAAATATAAAGTTTTTCTAGATTCTTCCTCCCTGCAAAAGTAAGAAACTGAAAGACAAATTTGAAGAAGAGACTAGACATAAGATAGATGCTTCTGTCCATCTTCTGGATTGGCAGAGTTAACTTTGTGAAAAATTACTATATTAACAGCATGTCATCTGCAGGTTCAATACACTCCCCATGAAAGTTTCAATGACAATCTTTAGAGTATTAGAAAAAAACCTGTAAAAGTTATATGGTAAAACCAAAGACCACAGATAGCCAAAGCAATCCAATGCAGAAAGAACACTACTGGAGGTATCATAATACCTGATCTCAAATTATACTACATAGCCATCGGGACACAGAAAACACAGTACTCAAACAAAAAGAGAGATGTGAACTTATGCATCTTTTGGCCATTTAATTTAAAGAAGGCATAAAAAGCATATATTAAAATAAAGACAGCTTTGGGGGGGAGAGGGAGAAAGGACTGACATGTGAAATTATAATTTTGTAAAAATTAAATAAAAAAAAACAGAAAAAAAACCCCAGCCTCGTCAACAAATGGTGTTGGTAAGAGTGGATATCTACCTGCAGAATAATGAAATTATGTTCACATCCCTAAACCTGCACAAAAATCAACTCAAATAGATCAAAATCCTTCATTTAAAACCCCAAATTCTGAAACCATTCAAGAAAAATAAAGAGAAAACACTTACAGATATAGGCATATCTCAAAATTCACAGAGATCAGCCTGCCTCTTCCTCCCAAGTGCTGGGATTAAAGGTGTGTACTGTTACCACCTGGCTGAGAAAATGAGATTTTAAGGAAGGAGAAGTAACCGAGTACATGATATGAAAATAGAATGGGGATGCTGGGGACTGAACCGTACAAGGGCAGGATGGGGAGAGGGAGGGTTAAGGGGTGATACCAGCAAAGTTAAGTTTGAGAAACAACACAAGGAAGCCCATTACTTTGTATGCTAATCTGAAAACAAGCAAATGGGGGAGGGGAAGAGGTAACAAAAAGAGATAACTGTTTCCAGGTCTCAAGGGCTAAGGCCACTGTGGAATTCTGTCCCTGAAAGCCTCAGAGAAGACGGCCTGCTCTGCACTGGTTATGCTTTTCTGTAAGGGTTTCTGATGGTGAAACAGCCCCAATCTCCACCAGGGTGTTCTCATTTCCTTGTAGACCTGTGTTTGTGTCCTTGTCCCAGCCCATCTATCCCTAGTAACTTTCCTGCAAGGTGATTTCCTGTTTGGTTGACTGAGCCCTGTGGTTCTCCACCAGTTTGCACAGTTTAACTCTTAATTCCCAGGTAAAGGACTCTTGCTCCCCAGAGAATTGAAATGAGTCTACCTTGCCGAACCTGAACCTTTGACCACTGTTTCCTTTATTTGGCTTTAAACTGGTCAGGCCATTCTTTTGGGTTTTTTTTTTTTTTTAAATGTCAACTTCATATTTACACTAGTCCTGGCCTCAAGGCATATCAGGTTTTTCCTGGTGCCAAGTTCAGCTAGAGTGACACAGAGGGGTGACATCATTCCATGTGGTAAAAGAGAGGCAGTGGCTGATGGAACGGCCTGGAGCAAAGACCTGATCCTGTCACTGAAGCCCAAATTTTAGACTTCCTCTTCAAAACAAAGAGAATGACAAACAAGATTAGCTTCAAACGAAGAAGAAAAGATAAAAACTTCAAACAAACAAATAAAAAACCTGGACACTTTTTTCCAAGCTAAAATCTTGAAGGGAGAAGGGTAGTGGGAAATGACCCCAAAGTAGAGGGAGTCCTGCCTTAGCAACACAGTGCTCAGTCATGACAAGCTCCATCTCTGGGCAATGGACCTCTATTCAGCTCCTGGGTGAGTATGGAGTCGGAAATTGAGGTAAAAGATGTTCAATGTGGAACAATAACAAAAACTTAGATAGTGGTGGCCAGCATTTGGAATTGTGAGGAGAGGGAGTGGCCAAGAAGATGGCCAGGTCAGAGTTGGAAAGAAAGAGCAAGCTCCCTGGGAATCCTTCCTGCCATCGATGGGGACGATCTCTGGTGAGTCAGTACAGTGTTTGTGCATTGCTGGTTTAACCCACCACTTATTTTGTGCTTTGTTTTCTAGGACTAGTAACGTATTAGTAAACATTCCAAGGCTTGCTTACTGTTGTTGGCTTTTTATTGTATTGTGTGTAGATATTCTTCAAACCATCACCATGGTCTCATAAAAGAGCACTTTAATGCCCACATGCAAAATAGAAAGGACACAATGATACATTTTTCCAATATGTATTTGATTTTATTTGACTTCATCTTTACTGTTCTTTGGGCTTTTATTCATTTAGTTTTGCAGAAAGAATTTATAATGCTCTGAAATACTGAACAGAATATGATTGTGCCCTTGGCCTCAAGATGGCAAGTGTCCAAGGAAAGTCAAGCAGGTAAACTCAAGTACCAACAGCACAGCCTGTGTGGGGTAGAGCTATGTTCACAACACGAAGGGGAAAAGACAAGCAACATAAAACAGTGGTTCGTCCTCTAGAAGGGACTGTAATCTCAGCATTGAGTATGCTGAGGCAGACGATGACACGTTTGAGGCCAGTTAGGACTACATAATGAGATTCAATTGCAGCAAGCAACCCAAGGAGAGGGCTAAGCCGTTAGGAGAACATACTGCCCTTCCAGAGGACCTCAGTTCAGTTCCCACCACTTGCCCCTAGCAGCTCGCAATTGCCTAGAACAGCAGTTCCTCAGGGTCTGGCGCCCTCTTCTGGTCTCTGTGGGCAAGTACGTGGTATACACACACACATGCATACACGCATCCAGATCAATACAAGCAAAACAGTGCTTGTATTGATCGATTCAAGGAAAGACGAGGGAAAGAAACATAAAATAAAACACCCCATTTGTTTCTCAGCAGAACTGCAAGAAACGCCAAAGCCTGTCACAACTCTCTTTGCACATGCTATTTGATTTAGGACAAAGCTGGTTCTATACCTCAGAGACCCTGCAGATTTCAGGACCCTCATCTAGTTTCAGGAAACCACTGGACTAGGAACCTGTCTTACGTGTAACACATCATCCTGCTGGTGGGCACCCCACACTGGGCAGGCAGGAGTCTCTTGTGTGGGGCATGCAATTGAATGGCTTTGCACACAGTAATTTCACTTGTTACAGGGCACAACCTTAGGTTCCAGGAATCCGGCAGGGCGAGGACTCTGCTGCCATGGAGAAAATGCCATAGGATTTGGTGCCAGGTAAGAGATGGGGAGCTTGGGGCACTTTCTCAATACATCCAGCAGAAAGGCACTGGGAAGTTTCTGAATTGTGACACTGAATGAGACTCACAGACTGAAAGGGAGAGAGGTATTCCAATCATCTGGTTCTGACATGTCCCCAAGGGGGCAGGGAATGACACTTTTATAGGGAAGAAGACACAGAAGGAGGTACACCGGACAGCCAGCCCTCCTAAAGGTATCTTATTGAGGGAAAATGTGAAGTATGTGCATTGTCTTACATTATATAATCAGCTAAGTCAGAGGCATGGTCGCTGAAATAATTCTCTTCCCTTCTTGCCTCACCGTAACTCTTGTCAGGCAGATCTAGAACTTTCACACAAATTCCCACCCTTATGTATATTCAAAGCCTACACAGATCACCTGAGCATCGCAGTATAAGTCTGTGACTCTGTTAAAAACAAACAAACAAACAAACAAAAGCCAAACAAACAAGCACCCAGTGTGGCGATGGTAACGGAACACAGGAGACCTGTCCATTCTCACAGGCTTTCCATTTTAGGTTATGAGCACCTCTGCCTCCCCTTGTGTTGTAAAACAGAAGGGTCCACACGGGATTGGGAACAGGTTTGACCTCCCCCGCCCTCCTCCGTCCTCCCGCGAACATAGCCACCCAGACATTCTGGAGGAAGGCCCAGCCTGATCTAGGATCCGCAGAGGATGTGGGTCCCATCTGCAAAGCCCAGGAATGGCAGCGATCAGATTGGGGTGGGAGCGAGGTGAAACCGAGAGATGCTCAAAGCTGGTGTCAAGGCTGAGGCAGGGCAGCGATTGCCTCGCATCAGAGAGGCAGGGAGAGGGCTTTCTGGTCCCCGAAGTCTCCCTAGGTCCTTTCCGAATGCAGCCGGAGGTAACAAGGGGGCTGGGCGATCTCGGAAGTTGGAGTGAGCCGAGGGAGCGAGCTTCTTACCTGGCCAGGGTGGCTGGTGAGGTTGAAGGAGTAGATGTTCTCGGTGCTGAGGCTCACCACCCCGCTGTAGACGCGATCAAAATCGGCGCCCCTGGCGGGGTCGCGGGAATCGCGGAGCAGCTCTGCAGTCTGGCCGAGGGGCTCTGCCTGGTGGCCGGGGACCTCCGCCCACAGGAGCCAGGGCAGCGCGCAGAGCAGCGCCAGCGGCGGGCAGCCGAGCATGGTGGGCGCCGCGCCCTGGGGGCCCCGAAACACAAGCAGCCCGAGGAAGGGGCGAGCAAGGAGATGGTCCTTCCAAAGCCGCCTGTGGAGCTGGGCGCCGGCTTCAGCAGCTGGGTGGTGTGTGGCCGCACGCCCGCAGCAGGCTGGAGCGGAGCAGATCAAATACTGATGTGCCACCTGGGGTCTCCAAAGGAGGTCACGCGTATGGATTAGGGGGGACGCGAGGCGAGGGGGCCAGGGAAGGCTGCTTTCCCCTTCGGCACTTAAGTCTTCCCTTTCTCATCGCGGAGAACCCTCTACTTAGCCAGAGACAATTTTCACTGATCTCTTCCCTCTTAACCTCAAAACAACAACAAACCCCTCAGAGAAGTAGCTGCTAGTCCAGAAGAATATACATGACCAGCCACCAAGGAGGATATCAGGTGCAAGATAAATGAATGTGCACTCTAGCTGCAGGCAAGCGAATGGAAAGCAAAAGAGTGGCCCCTTTTCAGAGGGTGTACCGGTTTGCTTCTGGGATTGCTACCTGCAGGAGTCTTGGAGGTGCGAAATGTTGCTCACTGGCTATCCGCCCTGCTCTAACAGAAACCCTTCTCAGACACCTGGTTTATTTCCTTATTACTCTTGCTCTCCACGGGCGTCATCTCTCCTTTGCCATATGTGCATGTATGTAAATATGCACAGTTACAAAACATAGATATGGCCAAGAGAACAGTCGCCAGCTGTGACCAGATTTAGGCAGATACCATTTCTTCCCACCCAAGCCTTTTGTGCTCTTTAAGTCGGCAATATTTTGTTTCAGATCTGGAAGAATTTCCAGGATTCTATGCTACGTTTTTGTTCATTTTAATTTAATTTTTTTGAGGCAGGCTTACTGAATAGTCCAGGCTGGCGTTGAACTCGGGAATCTTTCTTTCTCAGTCTCCCAAGTGCTGTGATTACAGTGCTGTGTCATCCCAGCCCCTAAGCCGAGGTATTTGAGAAACATAATACAATGAGCCAGAATTGAGATGACTGTAAACTGCAGCACTGAAACTATTTATGCCATTTCTGCAAAGTTTAATGAAATTTAGTAAGTTGAAATTTCTGAAGGCCTTTACAGTTTGCTGCGGTAGCCAGTTCAAGCAGGCTTTGATATGAGGAGTCTGTCTCAAACTTTATGGGACCTGAGAACCAGCTCCTTCACAGGGCAGCATGTTCTTTTTGGGTCTAGCATCTCCATATTAGAAAGATAATTTATACTTCTGGCTGAAACCAGCCTTCCTTCCACTCACTTGCACTAGTTCTGCCCTCTAAGAGCCACAGGGACAACTCTCCCACATGTTGGCTTTGCAGGTGTGTAAAGGGAGCCATGGCCTTTCATAGGATCCTTCAAAGTTTTATCCATCTAGAATCTGACTTTGATCCACAGAGAATAACCATGTGGTTAGATGCAATTAAAAAGATCTCTTGATAATTGGGTGAAATTAGTACTAAATAAAAAGTATTCATTTGAAATCAACATTAGATGGTCTGTATACTAGAAAATGGAGTTATAAATGACACATGTATTGTGTATTATGACTAATCACGAGTATAGCTTTAATCCACAGTGAGCTAGGCTAATCATCATCTCTGGTAATCTTTTGAATTTTAGTCTAATTTTGTCTAGTTCAATCCAAGAATTGAGAGTAGAGTGTGTAAATGGAGTTCTTTTTTCTAACATTTTTTAGATTTATTTATTAATTATGTATACAGCCTCTGTCTGTATGCCCGCAGGCCAGAAGAGGGTGCCAGATATCATTACAGATGGTTGTGAGCCACCATGTGGGTGCTGGGAATTGAACCTAGGGCTTCTGGAAGAACAGCCAATGCTCTTAACCTCTGAACCATCTCTCCAGCCCAATCATGATCTCAGAATCACAAGTTGTTCTAAGGATAAGAGGAAACAATGCACTTAACAGTATATTTAAAAATTGAAAGTTTTATGAACAAATATTATTCTGTGAATATTATTGTGAGTGCCAGCTCAGTAGCTAAAAAATTTATGCTAGCAGGCTATGGCTTACAATTTTTATTTATTTGCCTTTTTGTGTTTGGGTGTTTTCGTCATGTATGTCTGTGTACCATGTGCTTTACTGGTGCCTGATCCACTGAGAGTGGAGTTCCAGAGCTGTCATGTGGGTGCTGAGATTCAAATCCAAGTCTTTTCGGGGGGAATGGAGTTTCGAGGCAGGGTTTCTCTGTGACTTTGGAGCCTGTCCTGGAACCAGCTCTTGTAGGCCAGGTTGGTCTCGAACTCACAGGGATCCACCTGCCTCTGCTTCGTAAGTGCTGGGATTAAAGGCATGGGCCACCACCTCCTGGTTCAAATCCAAGTCTTTTGAAAGAGTAGTAGTCAGTGCACTGCACTTCTGAACCATCTCTCCAGCCCGATCACTTTTAATATTAACAATGCTAAAACCTCACAGTGAAGACAGAATATACACAGTCACTGGCAATGTAACGTGAGGAATACCTCTTGTAGCCGTCCACTCAGGGAAACCAGCCTGTGCTCTTAACAGCAAGCAGCCCAGAATGCCAAACCATAACCTTGGAAGCAAGTGGTGCAGACGCTGGGAACTAGTATAGCGAGTCAGTTGGCTTTTGTCCTGATTACAACAAAGGCTCAACAGAGGCCAGGTATGCTCCCCAACAGGACTTGCACCGCTGCTAGCCTGCCTTCGGTGTCTCTGCACCAGGATCCAATCAGAGCTTTCCACGTCTGCACTGATGGGTGAGAGGTCAGCATTGCTCCTGAACTCCGTTGTATTTGTCTTTGAGTCATTTGGCTGTCAGGGTACTGAGGTTTTGTTACGAGTTTCCATTGTTTAGTGTCTTTGTTAGAGTCATACCATTCATTTTTTCTCCTTGTTTGTCCTTTGCTCTGCTTCTGTTCTGTGATGTGTTGTGTAAAAGTGTTGCCATGGAGTAGAACACAGACGTGGGCTCCACAAACCCTTCACTTGAGCTGCCTTCCCAGATCCGCCTGGTTCCTACTGCACCACGTTCATTTGGACAAACCAGATAAAATCATCCTTTTATCTGGGATTTGATTTTGAGCCACAGAGAACATTCTGTCCGGTAGTCTTCCTGCCTGGAAGCACCCATTTCTGGTCTTCATAGTAAAGCAGCTGAACATTCAGTCAGGGCTAAAGATGTAAAACCTGCAGGCATCACTTTTTTTTTTTTAAAGTCTTTAGGATTTATTTGTGTGTGGAGTGTTTTCACTGTATGTTATGCATGTCAGTGCAACACATCTGTGTCTGGCGCTCATGGAGGTCAGAAGAAGGCATCAGATCCCCTGTAAGTTGAGTCGTTTGGTTGTGAGTCACCAAGTGGTTGCTGGGAATGGGACCCAGGTCTCCATAAGAGCAGCAGGTGATCATAACAGCCGAGCCACACCTCCACCAGGAGCCACGTCTCCACCCCAAGCTTTGCTTTTGACCACCTTCTGCCAGCTCTAATAAAACCACCTAAATCTGGTTTTCCTCCTTCCTATGTGCACACTCAATACTATCCTAACCTCATGACTACCTTGACAAATGGTACAATTTTGTTAAGTATCATTTGGGCCTTCAGTGACCACCCTAGGAAATATTGCACTTCAACAAAATTGTTTGAGAGGCATCTTAGAAAACAAATGGAATATAATCTCTCAGACCTGGTGGGGAACATTTTTTGATTGACATATATGTAAGGGTCATGTCAGAATCCAGCATGTTTTGCACAGTGCTTTGCAGCAGCCCTTTCTCTTTCACTGGTACTGACAGGCATCCTGTCAGGACACTGTCCATGAGTCCCCAGCTAACAGACTTCTAGGTGCCAGCATCTCTCACCTGGAAAGTGAGTTTACATAAAAGGGGTGAGAGGGGGGTATTGGTCTCCACCACCTTCCCTGCCTTCTTCCAGGGAGTTGGAGAGCTTGGATGCAGGTTTGTGCTGTGAAACTACCCCCCATCCACAGTTAGGTACAAGAAGAGATCCCACATCTGTCCCATGGGCCCTGCATTATTCTTCTCAGAGTCCCCACCAAACTTTCTGTCTCTGGTGCTCAGAGCCCCCAACAGGCTGTTGAATATCTGTCTGTCCATGGTATTCAAAATCGTGTGACCCCAATAAACACTCTCTGTCTGTGTCTTCTATCACATCCAAGACCATCCAATATAGAGGTCTCCAGTGAAAACCTTATACACGAATTGTTTCACTAAAAGATTCTTTGAATAGATGGCCAAAATCACCTTGACCAAGTAAACACCAAAGTAGAGCCACTGCACAGTAAATTCTACTCCTCTTCTTCTCCACTTGACTCCACTTCCATGTCTGCCCCCCTTTATCTTTTTGATTGTTCTTCCCTCCTTCCTTCCTTTTCTCCCCCTTCTCCAGACTTATTGCTTTTTCCCAACAACTCTTTAAAAACACCAAATGTCATCTGCGTCTGAGGAGCCATCACTTTCATAAGCCAGGCAAGCAGGCAACTGTAGAATTTAAACCTCGGACCCAAGATCAATTACAAGAAGTAATTAAAGAGTTCCCTAAGCCCCAGCAGAGGATCAAATATGCACAGAAGAACTTGAAATTCTTTGACCCAGGAGCACCTCTCTGTGATAGTTTTTGCTGTCAATTCGATAGACTCTAGGCTCACCGAGGAGACTGGCTGTGGGGAATTTTCTTGATTACATTAACTGATTGTGAGATCTTTAGGGTGGGCAAGACCCTTCTCCCAATGTGGGCTCTGAAATGTTTCAAGGGAAGAGTGTGCTCAGCACTAGCATGCATTCATCTTTGCCTGCTTACTAATTGTGAATGTGGTGGGAACAACTGCTTCAAGCACCTGCTGCCTTGACTTCCGGCCATGATGGGCTGTGCCCTTGAACTGTGAGACAGAATGAGCCTTTGCTCTCTTAAACTGTTTTTGTCAGAGTATTTTTATCATGGCAACAGGGAAAGAAACTAGGCCGTCGACATTTATCGACTTGCACATA